ATTACAACTTGTAGCTGAGAATATATATATTACTTTAAGCATCTAGCCACAAGAGTTATGCAAATATTTTTTTTCTTGTCGAATAGGCCCAGAAAAGAGGGTAATGTTGTTATGTAATATGTGAATTTCATTAAGCATGTTCGGCTTCCAGGATGCACTCTCCCGCTGGAGCCAAGAACAGGCAGATTGGCTCACATAACTCTTTTATGAAGGCATGTGGTGGCCTCTAGTGACAAGCAGGTAGATACACATGATGCCTCTGCCCTAAACGCCACGCGGTGGGACCGCTGTGACAGGAACCTCTGCCAGCTCCGCCTTCTGCCAGACTCCTATGGCCAGTGAGAAAGGTTTAACTGCACGTTTCTGCTGAACTATTTGTGTAATGGACATTGCGAACTGTGCAGCTTTCTCAAGGGTTATATAAAATAACCATAAGGTTTATAATTTTAAAAAGCTAGTGAGAAAAAACCCAACCCTACAGCAACGTGAATTCCAGCCATCCAGCCTGCAGGCAGCGTGAGGGGCTCCTGTCGGGATGGGCACGTGTTTGCACAAGGCCATAAAAACTGTATTTGCTCATTGAATCATACCCACATGTAATCCTTTCTCCTGGATACAGAACTACTTCAGCTTTATGAGACTGAAGAAACCAGTAAACTGAAAAATTCTCCATTGCACTAGTTTTCTCAGTCCACTGACACCTCAGCTGCACATAATTTTCACAAAAGAAAAATACCTGCCTGGAAGTCTTTTAGGTTATATTAGAGCTGATATTAATAAGGAGAGAAAAAAGAGAAGCTTCATTTGTATGGCCTGGAGCTGTTATTGTTGGCACTGAAATCTGATTCTGCTTGAGGAGAGCAGCTGAGACAGGAAAGGCAGCTCCTGACTTTCATATTCAACCTGTGGTTGGGGAAAGATGTACCACTCCAAGATCTGAACACTTCCAGAAGTATCATACTATTTGTAGTAATGTCGTAAATTTACCTCTCTGGTCAAAAGCTCAAAGCAGAAAGAAATAAGGTGTAGTGTTCTGATGAGTATGGTATTTTCCTTGGATAAAAGACAAAAAGGAGAGGGAAATGAGGAAAAAGTATTATATGCGAGAAAGACAGTGTGCAACTGTCTTGTGCTGCAAATGCCCAGGGCTTAAGTCCTGAGAACCCAGCTGAGACAGGGGTGTCATCTGGCTCTTTCTCTTATCTGATCACTTTCAGTAAAACAGAAAACATCTTTCTTTATTCTTCAGAGAGAGCAGTCTTCAAGGTGCAACATTTGCATTAACAAATGCTGCAAAGATATTTTGTTTTCAGGGTGGAAAATTGCCCTAAGTACTTTTTTCACTCATTCAAAAAAATCTTCATTTAAAAATGAAATTACATTAAACATTACATTAAAAATTGACTCTGTTTTCCTCCTGAAAGCTCATCTTCCAACTATGTTTCCATTATTGTAAATGAGTTGTATGACATAAAACTGGAATTATCTTCTGAGAAGTAGATAGAGAAGGAGGGGAATTTCTCAGGGAAATACTGGAATATGGCTGGAATATGGAACAAGGAATTACTCCTCCTTGAATGCACTTGCACAGTGGAAGTCCTGTCAGGACTGTATTGTAAGAGATCTTTCAGATTCTTAAGACAAAATCCACAGCGAGAGCAGTGACACAGTTACAGGGGCTAATAAACAGGCAAGGGATGTCAATCCTAGAATGGATCATCAGGAGAGACTGAACTAAGAGACGTTTTTTAATCTAAATCTTTAAGGCAGCCAAAAGAAAAGCTTATGTTCCACCTGAAGGCAGCATAAATGCAGCAGCAAGTTGGGTGTGTCTTTTTTCCTTGAACTTTCAAGACTGGTTACCCATGACTGCTTAGTAAAGGTGAGTAATACAAAATGGCATGCAGTTACGTTATCATAACCCTGCATGACTTATCTTCATTGCTCCCTAATACACATTAAACTGTTGTCACACAGGTGAGATTCCTTCATGAAATAAAAAAATGTATTAGTGTTGCTATGAAGGTTTTTTTGTGATTACACACAAACCATTCCGACAGAGCATGTCACTGAAAGGAAGTTACAACCAATAAAATAAATAATGTTCAAAAGAAGGCAGCCCATATTCTTCCAGATAATTCCTGGGCACAGTTCATGTGGTGGTGGTGGCTGAGGGCTGCTCCCAGATGGGCATATGTGAGCCAGGAGGAGCCGCCTATCATTACCTTGTCTTATCTCTGCCCTGTCTGGTGAAAAGTTCCTTCCCAGCTTTCCTGCAGCCCCTTCAGGCACTGGAAGGTGCCCTCAGGTCTTCTTGGAGCCTTCTCTTCTCCAGGCTCTCCTAAACTCCCTCAGCCTGTCTTCATAGCAGAGCTGCTCCAGCCCTTTGATCATCTTCATGGATCTTCTCTGGGTGCTCACCAACAGCTCCATGTCTTTCCTGTATTGAGGCCTCCAGAGCTGTAGGCAGTCTTCCAGGATGTGTAGTGATAGGACAAGGGGCAATGGTTTTAAACTGAAGAGGGAAGACTTAGGTTAGATGTTAGGAAGAAATTCCTTACTGTTAGAGGGTGGTGAGGCACTGGAACAGGCTGCCCAGAGAAGCTGTGGCTGCACCATCCCTGGAAGTGTTCAAAGCCAGGCTGGATGGTGCCTTGAGCAGCCTGGACTAATGGGAGGTGTCCCTGCCCATGCAGGGGGTTGGAACTAGATGATCTTCTAGGTCCTTTCCAACCCAAACCATTCTGTGATTCTATAAAATGGTATCAGTGAAATCATTGGGATACAACCTGAAGAAAAAAGTGCTAAGAAAATTCAGCCCAACATCTTTTCACATTAAGTCTGCATGATGCTGTTGCTCTATCCTTCCAATTGCCTGCGCCTTGAACACTTTTGCTTAATATTCAAGAGGATTCTGGAAGAAAGAATCTGAATTGAAAGTTCAGCTTAGCCTAAAGTAGCAGAACCAGGACACAGACAAATATCTGACCTATTTCTGATGTCCACTTTAATTCAGATCACTGTATAAGATGAAGTTAGAGAAAGGTTTAGAAATTTTTTATGTATCAGTGAATTTTATTTCTCTAATCTGAAATTTGCTCAATAGAAGAAAAAATTGAACGTTCAAGTGATGTTTAGAAGAAATACCAGTAAGGTAACATGGAAACTAATTTTAATAAATACAAATAAGACAAAGCAGATGATCATAAAACACTGTGAGAGATCTAGGCACTGAAAGATACAGCCAAGAGATGTAACTGAAGCAGGATTTCTTGCTATGTTCCTCCTGCAGCTCTACAAGTATAAGCTCTGCCCTACTAGCACGATCGATTCTTACTCTGTGTGAATATTTTTAATGAACAAGAAAAGACACGCCTTGAGTTTCCACAGTGACAGCCCCAACGATAAGGCTACTGTACTTTGGTTTCAACTGTCATAAGTGCTTATTATCAGTTACACCCAAAGACGTTCAAGGTCCAAAGATAATTAACAGCATCCTCCTGCAAAAAAAGTTCTGCCCTGAATGCTTACTGATTTGCTTTGTTTGTCTTCAGAACAGCCAGGTATCACAGCTCAACTCTTTGTCTTGATCCAATACTATTTAGACTCACCTGTAGAACAGTAACTTTAAAATCTTAGCAGTACTGATTGCCTAACACCCCAGGTTAGGTGTTCTCAGAAACTTGAAGATGCTTCCAATACACAGCTTAGTGCCTCACTAATTTCCTTGCCCCAAAGCTGAAGATCAGTATGTACAGCAGCTGTTTGCACTAATACAAGCAATATGTGTTAATTCTTCTACCTGACTAGCTGTACATTAATAATACACTAAACTGCTGTCAGTGCAATGCCCCAAGGAACTACATCCACGTCCTGTCCCCATGCACACCTGCTACTGCTTTCCTGCAGCACTAATAATCCCCTCAGCAAGCAGGTTCTTCCCTTGCTTTCCATTTCATCTCTGCATTTTCTGTATCAAAAGTGTAGACCACAGTCAGTTTAGGGACCTCAGTACTATGAGGAGGACTGTTGGTTTTCCTCAGGCCCTGAACAAAGGGAGATTTCCTGTTAACTGAACTCAACAGCCAGGTCTGTGACAGAGCCCAGCAGTGGAACTCCATAGCTGGGAATCTCTTTGGAATATGGACAAGGCAGGAGTGACACTTGTCCTGCTTAATTTCAGCCACACAGGAGGGCTGTAAGATTCATCTCAATGCCTCCCATCATTCTATAGACCTCAGCATCTCATATATGAAATACAGTGGGCAATAAGATTTCCAGTACTTTTGTTCCTATCACTTTATTTATGGACCAACCAATAGTTTCTCTGCTTAATCTCAAGAATACTGAAAGCTAGAGTTCAATGGTTTTCTAATTTGAATGACTGCATATTTAATGCAAGCCACCTACAACATTCACTTTCCAGTTACTGCATTAATATTGTTTTGTACTTACTATAAAATTAACGTGGTAGTTACAGATGCCTCCTTTCTAATATTTTATACACTGTTCTAGACTGAGTCCCAAACTATTGTTTACTCAACAGAAATATATACTTGATTGCAAATACAAAATGTTTAAGTCCCTTGAACTGAACTGCCATTTTAATTTCATACACTGCACATGGGGATAAGAATCTAGCTGTTCAAAAGGACTATAGAGAGCATGGCTGCAGGTATACTACTATAAATTATTCAACAGCTTATTTGTGTTTTACCTTTTATTCAAAATAATAACAAAGAAAGCCAAACTACCCGGGGAGTTCTTCTCCAACACAGAAGGACAGATGAAACCCCCTTTCTATTAAATAGGGCAATACAATGTGTGCTGTTTCTGCTGACACTAGTTACATTATGTGTCAACAGAGGTGGGGTTTTATAACTATTGTCCTTCCTCTTTGAAACACTATAAAGGTTTACAGAGCACACACTGCTCTTCACTTCTGCTGCTCTCCATCTGGGTAGGTTTAGCTCTTTCATTTTAGAAGACAAAGAATACAAATGGCCTTCTCTACCCGAAGCATTCAGTGGGGCACAGGCGCCCATTTCCAAGCTACTGCACCCAGCGTCAGTGGTTTGACCTCCAGGAAAATAGCCATCCAGAAGTCTCAGGCACCCAGTGTCTATGGGGGGGCTGGGGGCTATGGCACCCGCATCTCCTCCAGCACCAGCTATGGACAAGGCCTTGGGGGGGGCCTCCAGCTCAGCATTACTGGCAGCGACGTGCTGCTCTCTGGCAATGAAAAATCAACTATGCAAAACCTAAATGACCGGTTGGCTTCGTACCTGGAGAGGGTGCGCTCCCTGGAAAAGTCAAACTCCCTGCTTGAAATGCAGATCAAGGAGTGGTATGAGAAGAATACCACCCATGTAAGGCATGACTACAGTTCACACTTTAAAACAATTGAAGAACTCCAAATTAAGGTAAGATACATAGCCATCTAGAATTATATCAATTGCAATGACTGGGGAGATAGAGAAAATCTACTGTAGAAAATCTATTTTTCTAAATTGCAATTGTCTCAGCTAAGAAAAATAGATGCTTAATTTTGATCAGAGACAAATTAGTGACAGATTTTACATCATGTGTATTACTAAATATATGTCTGCAGATGTGAGCAGTCTCATAAATGAAAAATCTTTTAATAAAAATTAATTAATTATATTTGCCTTAGGTAGTTTTAATTAGTGAAAATACTGATGTAATTTACATGCTTAAATATATTTCAGCAATCTGTAACTGGATTTCAAAGTGGTTCTTTAGAAAAGACTGCCAAATTCCCAGAAAAAAATAGATCACTACTTGAAATAGTAAATTAGCATTCTAAACAATAAAATATTCCCACAGCAATCAGCTGACAGATTTGTCAGATTCTGTTTCCAGTGAACTTCCTTAAATCTTTCCCCTTTTACCTTTCACCAGTTCTACTTCCCATCCCTTAAAAGCAGATCTCTTCCAGAGAGCAGCTCATGCCAACTATTTCATGTATCTATGACAGGATAATTTGCCTTTTGGAAAATGCTAATTCCTCCTATGCACTTCAAAGGGAACTTGGCTTAAACCTAAATGACTAATAGACAGCTAAAGTTAAGCAAGGTGAAATCCACATGCAGTATTAATTTCCAGAAATGGATCAAGTGTTCATTAATGTGCAAAGTTTTATCACTTCTCAACCATTCCTTTTTAGATTAGTGCTGCACAGTTGGAAAATGCAAGGCTTGTCCTGCAGATTGACAATGCCAAACTGGCTGCTGATGACTTTAGACTGAAGTAAGTTCCATGATCATTTCCTAAAATCTCCTTCATGCTTCTCTTACTCAGGAAAGCTTCTAGTTATCATCATCAAAGTTGAAAATTAAACATTTTCTAATATAAAGTTTAATAAAAAAAAAAAAATTACAACTAAGGCTGTAAGGCTAACGTTGGAATCAAACAGTTGCATTTTCATAACAAAACAAGCCTTATTTTACAGGTATGAGAATGAACACCTGCTGAGGCAAAGTGTGGAGAGTGACATTAATGGGCTGATCCGAGTTCGCGATGACTTGACTCTGTCAAAATCTGATTTGGAGTCACAGATTGAGAATGTGAATGAAGAAATCGTTTTTCTAAAGAAGAACCACGAGGAGGTGAGAGCAGCTGAAACTGTCAGGCAGAGATTTTTACTAAGTGGAAAACACAAACTGAGCCTCACTAGGAATAATGAACTCTTTATGGTTTATGGTCTAAAAGAGTATTACATTCAGCTCCAGATCAGCACATCACTGTGTGTGGCACCGACTGACATCCAAGCTGTCAGGCACCAAAGGCTGAAGAGAATATAAGGAGTGAAAGTTTTCTTCAAGAACAATTTGTGGTTTAGGACTTGCTGCCCCACAAAAGTATACAAATAGGAACCATGACTACACTCATACTATAGATCTGGTCCTGAGGAAATAGTCTTTTTATGTTTATCTATGATATAGCATTTATTGCTACAAATTAAGGAAAATGTTCTAACATAAGGTGCGCTAAACAGTATTCACATGGTGGTTAGATTATCTTGCCCTGAGATGCTATTTAATAATTACTTCTAAGTCTGTAAATTTTGAATTTGCTTCCAATATACACGATTGGAAGTTCCCTGCATTTGATCTAATCCAGTCCTCATTACTGTAGGAAGTTGGCAGGCTGCAAAAACAGGTGGGCGGCTCAGTCAATGTAGAGGTGGATGCTGCTCCAGGTATTGATCTTGCAACTATGATGGAAAAGATGAGACTGCAATATGAAGAACTGGCTGAAAAGAACCGCCAAGACGCCAAAGAGCAATTTGAAAAGCAGGTAAGGTCAATTACTTCAACATCAGCAAGAACCTTGGTCGTGTCTAGTAGCAGTTTACAATTGCCCCATCTTTGCCTTTCAGACAGAACAACTGAACAAGGAAGTAGCAATCAACATTGAACAGCTCCAAGTCCAAAGGAGAGAGGTCACAGAGCAGAGACAGATCTACCAGAGTCTGGAGCTAGAATTACAGTCCCAGCTTAACATGGTAAATAATAAAGAGTACTTGAATAAAGGACTGTGAGAGGCTTTTCAATCAAAATGGTATTTTAAAACAAAAAATGTAATCTCTTGAATAACACATCTCTGTTCTTTCCATCGGCTGTAGAGAAAGTCTTTAGAGGACAGTGTGGCTGAAACTGAGGCACGTTACAGCTACCAGCTGGCCCAAATACAGGGAGCAATTGCCAGCTTGGAGGCTCAACTGCGGCAGCTCCGCACTGACATGGAAGCCCAGAACAACGAGTACAGCCTGCTGCTGGATGTCAAGACTCGCCTGGAAATGGAGATTGCCACGTACCGCCGACTGCTGGAGGGAGAGGACATTGGGTGAGGAAATAAACACACTTGGCCTGTTGGTTTAGTTGCGTATGACAGCAAACAACAGTGCAAACACTGCCTATATTCCCAGAAGTTGAAAGTGTAAAATCTGCCACTTTCCAGCTGGTTGGGGCAGATGGAGGGAGGCTGTTGCCCAGTTCTCACCCGTGGAATCAGAGCAGGCTGCAATTTGTGCCCAGTTTCAGAAGCTGCTGTAGACGTTGGCTGAGTTTCTCTCTCAGCTTCTGCACAGCTTTATACTTCTACTCTGTGGGCTGAGTAGCTGGATAGATGTTCAAACACCAGGAGCACCAGTAATTCAATTTTGGATCAACTTGTCCACAGCTGTAATTAACCTGGTTAATACACCCCAGCACCTAGTCATACTAGAGCAGGCACTCAGCAAGAGCATACTGACCTCCTCCTGCAGCCCATGGTAGGTTTTGCTGCCTGCACTGGGTTATAATCTGCTCAACCTGTGCCACTAGTAGCCAAGCTACTTAAAAATGTGAAGAGGTGCAAGTGAGCTGACACTGAATGTTCAGATAGTCCAGTATCCCATTAAATGTACAAGAAATTTACAAGAATGTTTCTTAAACATGTTAGGCAGTGTGTAATTATATTTTTTTTAATTTATACTTTGAACAGACAATTCCAACTGGAATCTACAGCAGAGGAAAAAGGTATGTCACATCGACGTCCTTATCTCTTGATGGCTGCCTATTGAAATGCTATGGAACTAATTAGCCTGATATAAACCAACATAGTTTCAGAGTAAATGATCAACCAGTGGAATCTCACATCAAGAGAGCAATAACCTGTAGGGATTCTACAAGCCTATTTTTATGTATATAACTCAAGTGTTCAAAACCTGAATGTGAGGAAACCACACACTCCTCAAAGAGCCAAGAGAGCAACAGAGAATTACTGCATTACCCTGGAGGACTTCAGAAGCATCAGCTTCTCTCCACTGACTGTACAGGGAGACAAAGCTCCTAAAGAAAGTACCAAGTTTAACAGCCCATTCAGTGTAAGGGTGTTCCTAGGCTACAAGTTAGTGCCAAACTAAGGCGAAACTATCAGGAGAGACAGTTACTCAACACAACGTCCACTATAGTATTGTGGGTAACATACAGGATGTTCAAAGGAAGAGAAACCACATCCTATCCACTCCAGAAGTTCAATTCTCAGTAACTGTGCACTGAAGAGGTGCCCTTATCCATTTTCTCATGGGGGGAATTGCTGCTAGCACAACAGTAATATTATTTTGTCAAAATACATTGCATTTAATTAATTATCTGTTTATTTCATTACCAGAATCAAGTAAAATTAAGAAGATCAAGACAATTGTCGAAGAGGTGGTTGATGGCAAGGTTGTCGCCTCTCACGTCAGAGAGGTTGAAGAGAAGGTGTAAATGGCATCAGCAGAGACGAAATGGCCTCTGAGCTTCCTGCATCTGATGCCAAAACTAAAAGATTAAATTGTATAAACAATCCAATCTAACTCTCCTTAAACCTCAGAAAGGCTGAAAAATGCCAAACTTTTTGTGTGGGGGGGCAGTGTTAATAAAACCAGTAAAGTTACAAAGTACAAGATTTAGGGTTAACTTAATAAATAACTTGATGAAAAAAAAAACACAAATCAGCCTGGTACAATTGTATGATTGTTTCCAAGACAGATAAAAACTGAAGTATTAGTTTTTACTTATATCAGTCTTAAAATTATATTTAAAAACTTGCTCAGTAAAAATCAGAAAAGCTTTTAGAAGACAGCTGCTATTTCTGAATCCTTGATGGACACCTCATCAAAACTTTAAATAAAAGAATTCACCAGACACAGATTATAACTCTGTATCAAGTACGTTCATTTAATTGCAATCCAGAGTTTAGCAATCTATTTTTTCTCTTGTGTACTAGCACTTACAGAGTAGATTTGTTTAAAATGCATTAAAATGTTGATACAGTGCATCTTTTCTTAACTTGAACTACCATTCAAAGGTAACACAGCTTCACTTCAGTAAAATGCTTTTCAAATACATGAAAGGTGTCAATTTGCATTTCATAATAAAATAAAATCAACTGAAGAAGACTATTATTTTTCACTCTCTGTGAATGCTTATATCATCAGGGACCATGGCAAGCAAAGGTATTTTGTAAATAAGAATATATTTTGCCTTCAGTTCAGAAATAAAAAGACCACCACTTCTATTAAACCTTTACCAATACCTGCACATACCCTTTCTCATCTGGTGTTAGTCTCCTACACCACACCCAGATCTTTTGTCCAAGAAGTCTGTATTTCCCTCTTGACAAAATAAACACAAAAAACCCTTTTCCTTTTGAAACCTCACCTGTCCAGTGTGCTATTTACTGTAAACAAACAGCTGCCAAGAAAAATAATCATTTGCTCTCACTACCATGAGTCACTGATACAAGGCTGTCAATTCATTTCTACTTAAATGCTTTATTTAAACCTTTGATCTATTGCTCAGAATACATTTCTACCCAAGGAAACATCCATGCTCCTGGACGGAGATAAATTCAAAATTAGTAAGTTTCTGTTGACAAATCCAACTGTCATTAAGCCAAGACAAAGAAAAAACTATTTTCTGCTTAGTAAAATAATTTCAGAAGAAAAGTATACTGGTTTTGAAGGGCTCCCATGCCTAAACCTGCAACCAGAAGAGCTATGTTTGATCTTTAGATTTGTATTATAAAAAGCATAAAGTATAGAAACAATTTGGTTTCTTTAGAGATCATAGCAAGCTATTTAGAAGAAACAGCAGCTTGTTTTTAGCTTTAGTAGACACTGTTGGTATAGGCTATGCATATTACACAGGGATATTTCAGTGATGAAAGGTCGAGGGCAGAAAATCCACTTACAAATTATACTCAGTATAATCAAGTATACTTTTTTTCATACTAATCATCAACCTGCAGATCACTGAATGTCCATGTGTCTCTTCATACACTTTCACGGGTGACTTTTCTTGCTTATTAATCAGACAGTGAGCACTAATCTGCCAGAGGTTCATGCCAGAAAAGTATTATGAAAAGAAACACATTTTTGACACGCACACTGGGAAGCATAAGAAAGGGATCACTCCACTGATTTAAGCATTCTTCTGTAATAATAGCCCCAAAACAGAAAGTGATTAATACATAATGACAAAAAAAATTATTTAGGAAGGATTTAAATGTGAAAAGACATTTTTGTGCTCCATTGCACATGGCAAAACATTATTGTGATGCCTTAGCTCTTCTCCACCCATTTCCCTTCATACAGCAAATACCTGGAGGGCACCAGATTTCCACTCCCATTGGCCATTTAGACTGGTACATATCACTGAGTTTGGTCAGGACACACCAAACTGACTTTGCCTCCAAACAATAGAGAGAGAGAAAAAGAATTAAATATCTTCCTAGGAGGTGGGACGTCCTGCT